TTAGTTTTTTTTTCATATATGGAAATTGTATGACTAGCATTTTACCATAATCCAAAAATTTTGATTTTTTACAATTTAATTTCTCAAAATTCTTTGGTTGTGTTCGTAACCAAACACAAATGACTTAAACCTTGGTTACTCATATGTAGTAACCATAAGTTTCGCCGTCTCGCATTAAAATTGCATTTAGAAATAGCCTGAAAAGTTGCTCTTTGGTTAATTTGCTCTTTTCATACAACTTTTGAGCACTTTAACTTCTCATAATTCCCCTCATATTGAATTTTCATTTAATCAGACATTAATCAAGGCATACCTAAACATTTCATACAAAAGAAATAGGAGTTTTCAGAGTTTTTGAGGAAAAAAATTAACCAAAAAGGAAATAAGTCCAATATTAGTGTAACCAGGACTAAGTTATGCATACAAAAAACTACTTTTTTTGCATTCACAAAGTTTTTCAAGGAAAATATTTGTTTGAGTGCAAAATTAGATTTGCGGTAAAAAAAAACACGAAAAAAAGTTTTTCGGGCAATTTCAAAATCATTTTTTTCTGTCGCCATCAAAAAAGTGTTAGTCATACAATTTCATACAATTTCCATATTAGGGAATTTTATGATACGCATTTTTTTCTTCAAAAAAATAAAAACCTGGTTTTTTTATCCCCAGACTGTTTTATTTGAAGTAGTTTAAATTTTCTATCGAACTTTATTCGAAATCGCGCGAAAATTGTATGACAAGCACTTTTCTATACACTTAATGTATGGAATTGTATAACAAGTATTTTCCGGTGTACCGAGGTCAACCCGGGTACCTGAAACATTGATTGAATTGCTTGGGCTTGTAGCTTGAATTTGTTTGGCTTATATTTACCAAACAGGTTCAATCACATTAGTTTTGGAATTTGCCGAGCAAAATTTCCCGACCGAATAATTTAAGCACAATAGCCAGCATCAAAAGTGATTAGTTTCTATTGCGTGAAAAATATTTTTCTTGATCAAGCAAACTATTTTATTCCTCTGTTGTTTAAGGGGTAAGGTTGTTTACATGTCCAATTGTTTTAAATCATGCTCAGATAATTTAGAACCGAGGTAACTAAAACGCAGGTGAAGCTGACTCATTTTTTCTTAGTATAAAAATTACGACAGGCCTTTTTTTGTCACGCTGGTTAGAAAAACAAGTTTTGTATAAATGTTTCATGAAGACAAACTTTTGAGCACTTTAACTTTTCAAATTTCCTCTTACATTTCGCAATTTAAATTTCGCAGTTCCGATCTTTTCGGGTTAATTTTTCATCTACCAGGGTTGACCAAAACTTCTTATCATGCAATTTCCATAAATGAAAAAATTCTTACCATACAATTCCATGCAAGGCCATACATACAGAAAACTGTATGAAAATTCTATGATCAGCATTTTTCCGTTATAAAAACTGTATGACAATTTTTCTTTTCCAATATACCAAAAAGTTGATTTTTTTCTAAAGTTATGTTCTAAAAATTTTGAGTTATGTTCAAAACTGAATGCAAACTAAAAGACCTTAGTCTAATCAAAGCACCAAAGAATTTGCATTTGCAATGCATAGAAAAAGACCTGAATTGCCTCAGAGATGTCCTTAACAAATGATATAAGAAAGTAACCATCTATAAGTTTTGGCAAAATATTTCAAAGATGATTATTTTTAAAAATTGAATTTTTAATTTATCAGACATTAATCAAGGCATACCTAAACATGTCATACCAAAAGAAATAGGAGTTTTCAGTGTTTTTGAAAAAAAAAATTTATCCAGCAAAGAGTAAAAAAAAACCATTATTAGTGAATCCAGGACTACGTTATGCACACAAAAAATTAATTTTGTATTTACTTAATAATTCTTGGAGAATGTTTTTTTGAGTGCAAAATTAGATTTGCGGTAAAAAACACGAAAAAATTTTTGGGGCAATTTCAAAATTACTTTTTTCTGTCGCCATCAAAAAAGTGTTAGTCATACAATTTCATACAATTTCCATATGTGGGAATTTTATGATAAGCATTTTTTTCTTCAAAAATTAAAAACCTTGGTTTTTTCATCCCCAGACTGTTTTATTTGAACAAAACAGCCACAGAAATTAGTTTAATTTTTTTTTCGAACATTTCTTGAATTTGTACGAAAATTGTATGACAAGCATTTTTACATACACTTATTGTATGGAATTGTATGACAAATATTTTCGGTGTATCGAGGTCAAACCGGATACCTGAAAAAATGATTGTAATGCCTGGGCTTGTAGCTTGAATTTGTTTGGCTTTTATTTACCAATCAGATTCAATCACATTAGTTTTGGACTTTCCCGAGCAAAATACCCAACAGTTCACCCGGGTTGACCAAAAATAATAGTCATACAATTTTCATATATGGAAATATGCTAAACATACACTTTTCATGCAATTCCATAAGTACAGAAAATTGCATGAAAGGTCTATGATTAGTTTTTTTTTATATATGGAAATTGTATGAGTAGCATTTTACCATAAACCAAAAATTTTGATTTTTTACAATTTAATTTATCAAAATTCTTTGGTTGTGTTCGTAACCAAACACAAATGACTTAAACCTTGGTTACTCATATGTAGTAACCATAAGTTTCGCCGTCTCGCATTAAAATTGCATTTGGAAATAGCCTGAAAAGTTGTAATTTTGTCTTCAAAATAATATAACGAAAGTAACGAAAGTAACGGCATACAAAATCATGTCATACAAAAGAAAGAGGAGTTTTAAGCGTTTTTTCAAAAATTTATGAAGAGAAAAGTTAAAAAATCCAATATTAGTATATCCAGGACTACTTTATACACACAAAAAACTAAGTTTTGCATGCAAATTTTTTTTTCAAAAAATGTCTTTTGAGTACGAAAACCTATTTGCGCTTGAAAAAAAAAATTTGGGGAGTCAATTTCAAAAATAATTTGAAAAATTTTGTCGTCGCCATCAAAAAAATGCTAGTCATACATTTTCCATAAATGGAAATTGTATGATTAGCATTTTTTTTGACAAAAAGTTTTGTTTTTTATTTTTTACGATACACCGAATATAGCGCCAAAACAAGAGAAAAGTTATTTGAAAATTCGACGACACCATTTTAGCGAAATGTATGAAATTTGTATGATTAGTATTGTTTCATTGACTTAGTTTATGGAATTGTATGATTAGCATTTTTGGTCTATGGAGCTCAACCCGGGTAAGCACTATAGCCACCATCAAAAGTAATTAGTTTCTACTGCGTGAAAATTAATTTTCCTGATCAAGCTAACTATTTCTTCCCTCAGTTGTTTTAGGGGTAAGGTTGTTCACTTGTCCAATTGTTTTAAACCATGGTCAGATAATTTAAAACCGAGGTAACTAAAAGGCAGGTGAGGCTAACTGATTTATCAAAACGACCTTTTACCAAGCCGATCCTACACCTACCACAATACGTATAGTCAAATGAAACGATAATTTTGGCTTAAAGATTGATAAAAAAGTGGTTAAAACAAGTTTAAAAAAATCTACAAAACTTCCAAATGAACAAAGATTTTTTGGCCGATTTGTGGCTGGTGGATCGCCCATCAAGGTCGCTGGTCTACATGCTACGCGAGCGTCGCCGCTTCGCTCTGGTAATTGGCTCCAACTTTTGTGCAGATTCCGTCTCTTCGTTGGGCAAGATCGCAACATGTTGACATGACTGCAGCAGTCACAAAAGTTATGGCAAATTTTGAATGCATGAGGCTATAAACAAGTTGCCTTAAAAGTAACTGTGTAAATAAATAATTACGTGTACTTTATGGTAGACTGGTCCCTTGAAAATAAGACACATAGAGCTCTCAAACCATTTAATAAAAGTTCCCTGACCCCTCGACACAAGAGGCCAAACTATCATTATTAAGCCCGCATCCAAGTTTAGGCGTAAATAATCGATTATAACGGATTATTATGATGATTTTTTGACAACTATAATCGATTATAATTACCAAAATTAGGTCCTTAAGGGATTTATAATTGATTATAATCGTGATATTTTCCAAGAGATTATAATCGATTAGAATTGATTATAATTGATTATAGTTCTTACTAAAAACCCTTAAAATCAATTATAATCGATTATAATCTCTTAGTTTGCCATATTTCTTTTTTCGAATTATATCTTATGGGTTATTATTTTTGTGTCAATTAGAAAATCTCTAAAAGAGAGATCTCTTGAACACTTTGGTTCATCTGAACACAAAGTATCACCACGAAACAAAAGTTTCATAGAGATCCTTTCATATGAGTGGAAAGGTTCTCGCGGTAGATGAAAAATAAATTTTCCGAATCAATCATGAAACTAAATCAATTTGCTGATGTTTTGGTGTTCAAAAAAGCTTAAAATATGCATCGCAAAACAACTCTATTGGGGAAGAAATGAAAAAAAAACTTAAAAATTTGAATTAATTGGAAAACTTTAAAAATACTTTTCTCATTTTTCATTGGGACCAACGTCCACAAAAAGCATAAAATATAAACATTTTAGATGCAACTTCGAAGACAAAAATGGACAAACAAAAGGGATTATAATCGATAATAATCGATTATAATGGATTTTTGTGCAAAACTAATGAAATAGAAATTTGAATAAAAAAATGGATCATAATCAATTATAATCGATTATAATCGTGTCGAAAAATAGACGAATAAATAATCGATTACAATCGACTATAATGGATTATAATTAATTATATTTTGATTTTAAAAAGAGAGATTATAATTGATTATTAATTGATTAAAATCGATTGTTTCGCAATTTTAGTGAGACTGGTACTAAAATCGTAATATAATCGATTATTAACGCTTGGAACTGGATGCGGGTGGTTAAAAGCTAATTTCTGTGGGTGGTTTACTCGATTCCGAATAGCTAAAAATTCTGATTTAGATCCTAGTTAAAACATCCACTCAGACTTCTTTGGGACATAGTGGATGTTGATTTGGTTTTAATTTTAAAACGGTTTTCAGGTCCGATTCTGGAAATTGTTACCCTTCACCATGTGAGTACTTCGAGCCCTCATGGAACTGGATTCAGGTCTCGTCCATAGTGCCAGGTACCCTGGTAGCTATATCACTCCAGGGCTTTGTCGACTACCCTGGTTTTTCGCGGCGCTTAGGGGAACCATACGAAGTATCTGCAATCACAAAACCGGCAACTCCAACCGAAGTTGGATCGATACAAATCCAAACTACAATTTTGAGAGTTGGATTTTCGTCTCAGGGATTAAAATCTGGCTGGCTGATCAGGTATGATTTCAGAAGACAAAACAAAATAATGGAAGTGTTTTCATTGTAAATGACAAAAATTCAGTTGGAAAGATAAATTTTCACGAAAGACTTATAATTAATTACTTAATTTAAATGAAAAATGGAATATCAAACAAAAAAATAAACTCGATAATCCCTTTTTAAATTTAAATTTTCTGGTCTCAATCGATTTGTAAGAAAAACACTGGTTATTTCGAAGTTACCCGCACCCACCAGTTTCGAGCGTTGATAATCAGTTATAATCTGTTTCAGTACCAGTTTTATTACAATTGAGAAAAAATTGATTTTAATCAATTGACAATCAATTATATTCTCTCTTTTTGAAGTCAAATTATAATCAATTACAGTGCAATTGAATTGTTTATAAACAATTAATATTCCATCTTTTTGATACAATTCTAATCGATAATAATTGAACTTTTCAATCCCAATTTCTAATTCATACATTATGCACAAAAATCCATTATAATTGATTATAATCGATTACATTCCTTTTTCTACCCCTTTTTGCTTCTAACGTGCGTCTGAGTTTTGGAATGAATTAGGCTTTTTATAGATGTTGGTTTATTTTAAAATAAAAAATGTTTTACCAATCTTAAAATCAATTGACAGCCAGAAACTTTTTTCTATTTTTCTAGATTAGAATTGTTTCATGATACAAGGTGAGCGTATTGCTTTTGCTTCATCAAATTTTTTGATAATTTTTCATCTACCGCGGGAACCTTCCAACTAATTAAGAGGGATTTTTATGGAAGTTTTCTTTTCTTCTTCAGATAAGTTAAAGTATGACAAGATATCTCACTTGTGCTGATTTTGATTTCGACAGAAAAGTATTAAACCATAGGATGGATATAAGTAAAATATATTTCTTTTATGACAATTTTTTCTCAAAATAAGATAGTTGATTAAAATTTTTTTTCTGTTCGAACTGCAATCAATTACACTCGATTATAAATCATGATAATTTTTGGAAAATTTTTTGAATATGATTGGTTCAAAATCTTCTAAATATCTTATTTTGGTAATTATTATAAACTAGAATTGACGAAAAATCAACAAAATATTTCGGGATAATCGGTTACTTGAGCCAAATTTTGGATGCGGGTATAGATGAGTAAACTTTTTAAACAGCGGTTTTCTCAATACAAAGATCAATTGACTTTTTTAGTCAGGCTTTTGCAATGGATCAAGAATTTTACAATAATCTCATAACTACTGATGTGCATTCATACATCTTTTTTAATTTATGAATGCACGAATGTATATCAGCCTTTTTTGAGTTCAATTGAAATTCATCTGCTGAGAATTATTTAAAGAGAACGTGGAATTGGCGCATGAAAAACCTTGACAAATTCTAATTTCGATAATGGAATTTAGTTTTCAGATTTCAAGCGGAAAAAAAGTTCACTTTCTGATCCATTTTTCTCAAAATCGGTTATTTTCATCAGAAAAGTGCCAACCTTATCTTGTTCTAAAAAATTCAAAAAACTTAGAGCTTTATTTTTTTCTTTCAAAATCGAAAGTTGAGATTTTTTCGACAGGGTCAGTGTGTTTTTTCCTGTTTAATTGCGTTCATACTCTTTTCCAATTTTTAGGTAGCTATATTATAGTTATTTAAATTCGGAACAAGTTCATAAAATCAGTTTATCTTTAGAATCTCAAAGTAAAACAGTTTGTACTTGAAAATTTTATTTCAGTACTGACACAAACTCCTGCCCAACTTCCTCTCCTTGCTTCATAAGCGACCCTTCTGCAACCTCGTATTACATTATGAAATTCACGCCAGGAACTCTAGTTCAGATATCCGTCTCGTCCTACGTTGACTACACTGGATTTACCCGACGATGGAGTGACACTTTAATTGTGTATGAGATCACAAAACCAGCAACTCCTACATGCACCGGATCCAGTCCAGTTGATAGCCGAAGTGTGAATTTTGGTTTTGCAGTTAAAGGACTGCATTCAGGCTGGTTGATAAAGCAAGTATTGTGTTTTAAAACCAACTTTCTAAAATATAAACAGTTTACAGTTTTTGTTTAAAAGGGTTTAAAGTGTTTATTACTGCATTTTTCCAGATCAAACCTTCTAGGGTATGAGTAATTTTACTTTATTAGGTCCGACTCCGGAAGTTGTGCTGCTGATTGTGAAATCAGCAACCCTGCATCTAACGTGTATACTGTTACTGGCTTATTGCCTGGAGCTTTGGTTTATATTGAGGTATATGCATTTGTGGATTATACGGGTTATGGCAGACGATGGAGCGACGAAGTCCGGATGCCAGAAGTGACTAACCCGAAAACTCCGATTGCAGCTGGAAGTGTAATTATGGGCACGACAACATTTTCGGTCGGATTTGAAGTTGACGAAGGATCGCATTCGGGATGGCTAATATCGTACGCCTCTTTTGGCATTTAAAAATGTATAAAATTTAAAAGTTTCTGAATATCCAAGGAAAAGTTTTTAAAAACCTACGGTCCACGTCTTTCTATAGTTATACTTAGAACCACAATATACAACTTTTAGCTAGGTAAATTAGGAAGTTATAAGTCGTAATTAATAACTAAAAACTATGAAGACATAAAATTGGCAAATTGGAAAGATTTTTTTTTAAATTTGATTCCAGACAACGAGAAAACTCAGATAGAAGCTTTGTTATCTATACCAAGACTGAAATTTGTGCAAAATTTTGCAAAAAAAAATAAAATTTGCAAAAATTTTAATTAAGTGTAAGCTTTGTAAGAATCATATGTCGGAAAAAGCAAGCAAATGTAACTCTACCGTAATATTTTTACATGAACGATGCTACGTTTTATTTTTCAAGGTCACAAAGTTAGCCTTACAACCGTTTTCAGTTCTGACGCCGGATCATGCCAAGGCATTCTTTGTGAGGTTACGGATCCCTCTGTGAGTCGATACCAAATCCATGGAATACCGTCAGGGATCGTCGTCGCTGTTTCTGTAAACTCTTTCATCGAGTATCCTGGAGTGGCGGTGACAAGACGAATAAGCGAGGCTTACCGGGTGTCGGATGTTACGATTCCTGCTGCTACGACTCTGGTCGGAACTCCTGATGTTACAACGACAAGTGTTATTATCAATTTTGAGGCTGCCGGCACAAAAACAGGCTGGCTAATCGAGTTAGTTTTCATAGAAGCTGTAAGCCACTTCTGTTTTATCCTTGGTCCAAATTATAGGGAGAACTTCGTAGCTAGCAATTTTGCACATGTTTTAAGAGGAGAATTATTGATATATAGGTGTCACTATTTTAGGAGGTACCATGGGGAGCAAAAATAACGGATCAACCGCACAATTTCTCTCCCCCACCCCCAAATGACCTACCGTAGAGTGTTCTCGTCAAGCATGTAATAATTTTGACAAATAACTTCTATTTAAAATCCCGGGTTGACCTCCATAGACCAAAAATGCTACTCATACAATTCCATAAACTAAGTCTATGAAAAAATACTAGTCATATAAATTTCATACAGTTTGCTAACATGAATTAATCGAACTTTCAAAGAACTTTTTCTTGTTTTAACATAAAATTTAGCGTATCGACATAGATTAAAAAAATGCTACCAAAAAATGCTAATCATACAATTTCCATATGGAATTTTATGACTAACATTTTTTTCATGGCGACAGCAAAAGTTTTTTCATGTTGTATCGAAGTTGCCTGAACAAATTTTTTGTTTTTTTTTTCAATCGCAAAACGAATTTTGTTCTCAAACAAACATTTAAAAATTTGTATGCGAAAATTAATTTTGTGTGTAAAACGTAGTCGTGGATGCAAAAAAATGGATTTTGAGGATTTTAAGATTTTGAGGGATTTTAAAAAATGCTCAAAACGCCAATTTACTTGGTAGAGAATGCTTTGCATGCCTTGATCAATTCATGGTTAATTGAAAATTCAAATAAAAAGAAAACCATTTTTGAAAATCATTTGCCAACATTTATTAATTTGATACTTTCATTATATTGTTTGTTCAAGACAAAATTGAGACAATTCAGGCAGTTTTTGATGCATTGTAAGCGCCAAACGGTCTTATCTTTGGTGGCTCTGCTTTTGAGTAGACCATGATTTCTGTCGTTTGAGGTCGGTTATGACTAAATCCGAAAATTTTCAGAAAATAAATTGTACAAAACTAAATTTTTTGGTGTATAGAAAAATGCTAGTCATACAATTTCCATATCTGAAAAATCTCTTAAAGACCTTTCATGCAAATTTTTTTACCTATGGAACTGCATGAAAAGTGTGAGATTAGCCCTTTTTCATATATTAAAATTGTATGACTCTTATTTTTATTCAACCCGAGATATGCGTTTGATATAAATGCGCAAATTATATATTTTTGTTTCAATTTTTCATACAGTTTTATTATGATAGGCTAAAAAGTCAGTTAACTTGACGTTTCAATTAATTATCAGGATAATTAAACTTTAAATAGGTAAATCATATTCCTCTCAAACTTTATCTCAAAGAAACCTGTATTATCTCCACCCTAAATCGATTTGGGGGAGGGGAATAGTCTGGTTGATCCAAAATAAGTAAATAGAATAAGTTCATTTTATATTTCTTATGTCTCGCTGTATTTGAGTCCCCGGGTTGACCGATAAAGCTAATGATACTGTTTTCATACATGGAAAACGCTAGGGATACACTTATTATGCAATTCCTTTAGTAAATTAAATTGCATGAAATGTCTATGATTAGTGATTTTTCTTATATGGAAAAAGTATGAGTAGCATTTTTCCATTTTAAAAATTTTTCCAGGTTTTTCATGTTAGATTTAATTTCGTTCAAAAATATTTGGGTTCTGTTCGTAACCGGACACAAAAGACAAAAGTCATATACCCTGAGTCACCAAATGCTTAACACTCTAACATGTACAGTCCGCACCGGATTTTGTGGGCTCGTACACGGGGGAGGGATTACACAGAACGTAGTGGATGTAAGCGAATGGCTGTAAATGTGGGTTGTAACTAAAAATTTCTGAGAAGTTGTTTTTTCTAATGTAAAGTGTAATAAGCCAAAAGCAACTGTTAGGATTTGAATATACTGCACTGTTATGTTGGTTTTACCATTTTAGCTCAAATGTATGAAATGTTCATGACAAGTATCTTTCAACAGAATTATTTTATTGAATTGCATAGCTAGCATTTTCGGTCTATGGAAGTCAACCTGGGTCATTTTAATGTTTTTAAGATATTTTAGGATTTTTTTGAAAAATTGGTATTGAAAATGGTCTTTAAAGCTGCTTTGTTTAATTTATTTACACATGTTTTTTTATTTATAAAATTGTATGATAATTGTTTTTGGTCTATGGAGGTCAACCCGGGTCATCTGAATTTTTTTGAGATACTTGGGAATTTTTTGAAGAAACTGGTTTTGAAAATGATATTTAAAGCTGCGTTGCTGAATTGAATTTCACATGTTCCTTCAATAAGTATTGTAACAAATATCTTTAGCTATGTTGTTTTTGGTCATACGAAATAGAATTGCAAATTTTTGGCTTCGAAAGCATCAAGTCCAACATAATAGAAAATCTATATAATCAAAAAAGCTTTCTCAAAATTTCGCCTATGTGTTTCTCCTCGAGGTCGAAGTGGTCCAGTTTTTGACCTTACTCAGCTCAATAACACTTCCCTCCATATCGATTCTAGGATCTACTTAACCCATACCCCCTTCAGGAAAGGGGGGTAATTATTAAGAAGATTAACTCAGTCGAATTTTCGACCAGTCAGAATGAAACAAAATTCGAATTATAAAGAGAACGCTCTAGTGCTAAGTTACTGCTTTTTATTATAGGGGTGACATTTTTTAGTAGATACCTTAGGGGTTGGAGGGAATTTTTAAGAAATTAACTATTCTTTTTTCAGTAGTCGTTTTTCTTTGATATTAAAGTAACCGTAGAGTCGAGTGGTTTTAGCTCCTCCCACGGAGATTGCGTGACCACGTGCGATTACTCGAACACGTCTCTTTCGGCTTTCTCTTTCACCGGCCTTGTTCCCGGATCTCAAGTTCACCTTGTAGTCCGGGCGCACGCAGATCACGTGGGTTTCACGCGGAAAATCGGAGCTCCTCTTGACATCTATGAGGCGGCGACTCCTCTGAAGCCTCAATGGGTCGCAGGATCCGACAGTTCAACCACTACTTCGATTGCATTCACAATGTCCCAAGACTCCTCACTGGGCGTGGTACACGGGTGGATGATTTAGTAAGCATTTTTCTGAATCTTTGTTCGAAGACTTCACGGCACCTGTATTATTTTTTTCTTGTTGCATAATTTGAAAAATTGTTGAACAACTTTCTAGGTTATAAATTGGTATAAATTTACCAGCGCAAAAGAAATACCGAAAAAATAATCAAATTTTTAAGCTAATGCTTAGCTTTTTATGAAATTTTAATAAAATCAGCAAAAGTTACTCAAACCCGAGTCGAGATTTTTCACCTAATTTGAAGCAAGATTTGAGCGGTTTGAGCGGTTTTTTTAGACAATTACGCTCAAAATCTTGCTTCAAAATGAGAGGTTTGAGCGGTTTTTGAACGGTTTATATAAAAAAACCGCTTAAAAAACCGCGCAAGATTTGAGCGGTTTATCTAGAAAAACCGCTCAAATCTTGCGCGGTTTTTGAGTGGTTTTTTTAGATAAACCGCTCAAATCTTGCGCGGTTTTTGAGCGGTTTTTTTAGATAATGATGTAGGAAACTATGAGATAAGCATTTTCGGTGTGGGGAAATGTAAGATAAGCATTTTCTGTTTATAGAGGTCAACCCGGGAAGTATTTCAAATGCATCTTAGCGTCACATTACCTTTCCAGGCCTTTTTGTTGATTTTAATCGGTTTTCTTTATAAGACCGCCCAAAAACCGCTCAAATCTTGCCTGAGATACCGTTCAAAAATCACCGCAAGAAATGAGCGGTTTTTGAGCGGTTTTTCCAAAAAAACTGCCCAAACCGCTCAAATATTGCTGGAAAACCGCTCAGACCGCCCATATCTTGAGCGGTTTTGGAGCGGGATCTCGAAGCGGGAAACCTTGTAATTTTAGTATCTTTTTCTATTCTAATGGCTCTCAAAAAAGTATCATATTCAGAAGAGAATCTAAAATTTTCTGAAAGATAAAAATTAAATTAGAATGTTTGTCAACCTGTTTTTATGATGTCAGCCACTTATAACTTCTGAGCTCGTCTGAACCGACAAACAAATACACAAATTAAGCCAAAAAATAATTTAAAAACAAAAATAATTTGCAAAAACTAACAAACAAAAACAGCACAAAAAATAAAAATTTTATAATTTATGATTAAAAATTCAATTATAAATATTAACTTGGTTTTCAATTGACTGTTTTTTCCAAAGCATCTTTCAGACATTGTAACCATATAATTAAATTAGTTTCTAAATGGCTGTATAAATTTTTTTTGCAATTTTTAGTTTTGTGTAATTTCGAAAAAAACTCAAAATTTTGAAATATTTATTTTATATTTCAATTACTGTCGTTTCATTTTTTGAATAGGTTTTGAAATGCAACTGATTTAGTTCCAACTACGGCAGATGTGCGGCGTCAGCGTGCATTTATCGCAGTCATGACCCTACAGTAGTGGTTTCGGATCTTCCGACAGGCACGACCGTGACAATCACAGCCAGGGCATATGTGAACTACGCGGGAACAGGATTGAGACTAAGCGAGTCACTCATCCAAACGAGAGGCACATACCCCAACACACCTTCTGGTTATTTTTTTTTCAGTTTCTTTACGAGACAGAGCAATTTAAGTAAATAAGTTATTTTACCAACATAGCACCGCGGCTTCGATTTACCATCAGACCAGATGCCTCTTTAAAGGTGCCACGAGTGAACAATGATTTTGTAGGAAATAGAGGACCACCATTACAGAAAAAAAAAGACTAAAAAAAAGTTTTTACTTCTATAAAAAAACCAGATTATTTTCACGGAAGTTCTTTTTGGACGAACTTTTTAGATTGAACTTAAACTATAGACTGCTTTAACGATTTTCAGCTTTAATGTTTTTTGCAGAGTGAAATTTTTGTACTTGTCATATACTCTAGGTACACACCCCAACAGAAATAGCAGTATAATTTTAAATGTGAACTGTTTCAAAACAATTAGCAAAAATCGCATCTATCCTTAGCTGTCAATTTTGAAAGATAGTTTTGTAATTGTGCACTTGTGCACATGGGTTAAATTGGTTCGAAGATAAGGATCTCGACTGATGATTCGACGACAAGAATCAAGCATAATCCTCTTTTTTATTTTTTTTAGCGCTAAGAGTTGTCGGTTGATATCTTACTGAGCCTAGTGTTTGTCTGTTTTGTCTTTTTGAGCTTGACGATGCTCATTTTGACCTTATTCCTGAATTTTTTACTTCATGTGGCCTCTCCGAAAACCGTTTAATATCGCTCGAGTTTAGTACTCTACTAAAAACTAAAGCTAATTGTAATTAAAAGTTTCATGTCAAACTTGAAAATTAAAAAACCAATCCAGACTGCTCGTATCAGGAAGTCTTGAATGTTCCGACCGCCTTTTAAGGTCTATGGAGCAGTGTTTGTTTAAAAATTTTAGCTCAGTTTTGGCTTTGAAAGTGCTAGCATATTTTTCAGCGTTTCAGTTGATGAAATTTATGATTAATACAAGATGAAAGAAAAAATTGAATTGATTCAAGGGTCGGATTGAGAAGGGTTGGCGGACACCCTGCTCGCGAATATTTGACTCACTCAACACCCAAATGCTCAAGCCTTCTGTGCTATTCTACGTATTCTACGAAATTAATAATCGGACAACCAACCGTGGTTTTTCTCTGAGGGAACCTTTCGGCACCAATCTTTAGTGCTCTTAAAAGCTTGGCGGGGGGGGGGGGCTTCTTGAAAAAAAAAACTTTCTACAAAGTGGCCAAAAACAATTGCCAGCGGAATATTGTTGCAACTTGGATTTTTTTAGTGTTTTAGGAAAGCTTGGAAAATCAATTGGTTGAATCTAAGAAACATTTGATAAAAAATTCAAAAATTGTAAGAAATGTGTGAAATTTTTCTCGCTCCTCAAAAAATTGTAGATCTGCACCTGAAATGATGTGTCTGCTAATGATGTGTCTACTAATCATAAAGTTCAATTTTCAAAACTTTAGATTTTCAGAACTTTACTTTTTAATATTACGTTTATGCTACCAAGCAGCGTTGGACTCTTTGATAGAAAATATATGTCCATTTTCAAGCCAGATTTGAATGGTTACTGTGTCTTTATAACTGAGTACGCTCAAAATTTAGCTTGAGGTTCAGCGGTTGGAACGATTTATGAGGTTTCTTAATTTTACTGGCAGTTTTTAAAAGTTTTACAAGCTCAAATTGAGTTGATCGATGGTTGGGGCTCACTCATAGAGTAGTTTCAGATTGAGTTCATCGGCTGCTCGTCACGTTAATTTCTTAATCTAGAACTACAGTGCTGATTTAAATTATCCGGACAAAATTAACAAAACTTGAATTTTCAAACGCATTTTTCTCAAATTGGGTTAAGATTAGACAAAAAATGAAGAGAACAAAAGTTGCTTAGAAATTCACCAGAATTAATATGATGCCATTTTTTCTCCAAAATTCTCAACAAAAATTTTACCTCAAAAATGGGTCATTTTGGCTTTTTTCAATTAATCAACAATTACGCTGAAACTACTTTGTTAATTGATAAGATAAATATATCCTAGGAAACATCTTACGCAGCTCAACAAAGTTTAACGAGGGTTAAAGCTTCAAAAACCAGTAAAAGAGAAAAAATTTCACTCGATAGTCAATAAATGTGATTTTTACTATACAAAACCCAGAATCTCTGTTTAAAAACAAATTTTAAACAATTTGCGCAAATTTTTGGAGATTTAACTCTTGTTAAACTTTGTTGAGCTGCGTAAGAAGTTTCCTGTGATATAATTTTTATCAATTAACAAAGTAGTTTCAGCGTAATAGTTGATTAATTGAAAAAAGCCAAAATGACCCATTTTTGATGTAAAATTTTTGTTGAGTTGAGAATTTCGGAGAAAAAATGGCACCATATCAATTCTGGTGAAATTCTAAGCAACTTTTGTTCTCTTCATTTTTTGTCTAATTTTAACCCAATTTGAGAAAAACGCGTTTGAAAATTCAAGTTTTGTTCGTTTTGTCCGGACAATTTAAATCAGCACTGTAGTCTTAATCTAACTCTTATTTCTTAGTCTCAATAGATCATAAAATTACTGGAAAGTTGATTAGTTGGGGATCAACGTTAGTCGTTATTCTCAAAATTTTTCTGATTGCAAATAGACAGAGTTCAGAATTATATTTATTGTTCCGACTTTCGATACGAAAGTAACGGAACATTTGTGCTCGGGGTGGGTTTTTTTTCTTCAGACAACTTTCGATTTTTTAACTAGCCATTTTTGACGGAGTTTTTTTATATTCCTCAAAATGTATTGTTGTCCTGAGCTTAAATTTGAAAATATATTTCACTTTTGATCATTATGGTAAAGTTATGGGGGTTTAAAGATTGGCATTTTGGCCAATTTGGAACAATTAACGCGCGACTATTTCGCGCTATTAACGCGTAAGTGGAGATTTAATCCGTCTTGGAAGTCGTTCCAAATTGAATGAAAGAAACGTTTTTGCCCTAATTGATTTGTTACAATGAGCGAAATTTTTTCTTTTGTACTTTATATGGCGTGTGGGGTGATGATTTCATTAAAAAAAGAGTTTCAAGTTTAAGAATTTTTTTTTTCAATTTGTTTTATTACAATTAATTTTTTATGTTACAACTGCTCCATAAACCTTAAAAGGAGGTCGGAACGTTCAGGTCTTCGCCCTGATACGAGCAGCCTTAGTAAATTTAGTTACGGAATTTTTTTTGACTTTATTAAAGAACTTACAACCATGTCCAATGCCAAAGATACCAAGCTTAAGGCAGTTTTACTAGGAGAAATGAGGGGTCGGTTGTTAGATTTTTTTATTTCTATTAGAAACTAAAATTATAAGTCTCAATTAAATTATATCATAGATCGTATTCGATCTAGTCCTAGAGTTAAAATGACATTTATAAAAACAGATAAATTAAAAGGGTTGATCAAATAAGTTTAAATTAATTATACATGGATGAAAAAATGTCTTAAATACCGAAATAGGTTTGGGGTATTTAGTATAAGTTACATTAATTTAAATAGGAGGAAAACATTAAAATTTTACTTCTGTCAGTTCTGGAATGTTAAATATTTTTTAAAAGTACTTTTTTGTTTAAAGAACAATTAGTGATTAAAAAAATAATAATTCCACTCGACTGAGCGAGTGGGGAAATTCTAAAGATTCAGGTTGATTTAATTCTCAGCTATTCTGCTGAGACCAACCTGCACCTGCAGTTTAGGCTTCAAAATTTATTTTCCCCTTTTTCTTCTTACTCTTGATGAAACTGACATTTGCAACTTATTGATTTTTTATTATAAAAATCGATAATTTAAAAGATCAGGGCAATTTATCAGTGTTGCACCTGCCTTACTTAAATAAAAAATCAAAGTCTTTTTCTAAGATCGCAAAAGAACTGGGGGATTTGTGGCCGCGCTGTCTGCTTTTTACGGCAATACAATAAAGCAGTCCGCCTAACTGGCGACATACTTGTTTTCAATATCCAGGCTAAAAGCAGCAGAAAAAAATGAGTCCATTTTTAAAAGAATTGTTTAATTCGGAAGGATATTTGAAATGTTCGAAAACTATATTAAACTATAAGTTAGTGAAGTATTTGCAAAACTACACAGTGGAACCAAGAAGAATTTTAACGGATCATTTCCGTCATGGGTTTGTTGAGAAAAAAAATGTTTTTTTTTTTAATTTAGAATTGTATTGATTGTTTTCTGGATGAGTTCTTGAGTGTGGTTCTTTCTTTCAATTCGAGTTCCAATCAAGATCTGATTGTAGATATTTTTTCTCTCGTTCGCGTCAATGGGCCAATTTGACAAGTCAAAATGACCCAATTTTGGTGTAAAGTTTTGGGCCCGAAATTTGTAAAACAAATTACACCATATTCAAATTGCTACAATTTTAAGCAAGTTTTGTCTTCATAAGTTTTCAACTAAACTCAAACCAATTTGAGAAAAACGCGTTTGAAATTTCAAGTTTAACGCGTTTTGTCCTGTTAATTCAAATCAGCACTGTTTACAGTGACCGTTCAGCGCAAATACTTTCTATCGTCCAGAGAGGGTCAAACACGTTGAAGTAAACTATTTTTCCTCTGAAAGAATATCGCTGAATTGAGCTCGGATTTTCTACAAGGGATTTAGGTGTGAATTAAATCATATATAGGTGGTCATTGAGTAAATTGTGCGTGTCGTTTTGAAGATTAAAGAAGTTATTGTTCCGACTTTCGATACGAAAGTAACGGAATATTTGTGCTCGGGGTGGGTTTTGTTTTCTTCATAAGCGGAGAGTTAATCTGTCTTAAAATCGTTCCAAATTGGTTGAAAAAGCTTAAATGCCATAATTTATTTGCTACAAGGAGCGAAATATATCCTTTTGTACTTTATATGGCGTGTGGGGGGATGATTTTCATAAAAAAATTCCAAATTTTAGAATTTTTTTTTTTCATTTTATTTTATTACATTTAATTTTTTAATGTTATTACTTCTGCATAAAACTTTAAAAGGCAGTCGGAACATTCAGGTCTTCGCCCTGATACGAGCAGTTTTGTTTCTTTCGCGTCAGATATATTGAGACGTACAGAACGTCTATTACCTAAACTGTAATTTTTGTTAGTTTTTGTTTGTAAGGTCTTTTTGGACTCGTTGCTCGCACCAGATAATATGATCGATGGTTGAGGCAACTTGTAGGCTAACTTCAGATTGAGTACAGTATCTAATCGACAAGCTAAAATTTCTTAGTCTTCTTCTTAGTTCCTATGTCTCAATAGATCCTAACAATTACTGAAAAGGTGATTATTTAGAGAGTGATTGTTTATTTGATCACAAATAAACAATCACTCAAAAGAGTGAGTTCACAATTATAATTATAAAAGTTAGTTACGGAATATGAATGCTTCGTATAAAAACTTCACAATCAAATTCAAAAGATATATAAAAGATATATACCGTAAAGGGTTGAGCGACAAAAGCCCCCGAGTCAAAAGCACCCGAGTCAAAAGCCCCCGGCGCAAAAGTTACATGTACAAGAAAACCTACATGCAAAAGCACGGGGGGCTTTTGACTCGGGGGCTTTTGACGGGGGGATTTTGTCGTGGGGGCTTTTGACGCTCAGCGACCGTAAAGCAGTAAACAAACATGAAACTACCAACTGGTCGCAAACTATAGTTTCACAAGCTTTTTTTTTGTTTTGAATCAGCGTCTCACAGCTCTGGGTGCAGAAACATACATGTTCACGTGGGCACGCCAGAAAGATGTGCAACAATTGAGTTCTACTTAAATGGCGGCCATCATGGGAGTCAGTCATGCCACGGCTCAAACAACTGGGACTTCCATGGTCTCTCTATGGGCTCAAGTTATAATTTTAGGGTAAAAAAAACTTTGTAATCTAAATAGTGGATTCCACAAACGGATCAAGGAAATTACAAAACTCTGATCAATTAATTCCAAAAAAGCATTCCCTCTGTTTTGATTTCAGCGTATAAAATTGACTTTATGGTCACTTGTAGCATAATTTCTTAATGATGATTTGGCTCAAAAAACCACGTAAAGTGTGGAAGCGATCTTTTTGTTCAAGTTTTGCATAGCTGAGATGAGAAGCCAATTATATAAATTCTACTTAACTTATCAATAACACCCACGTTTCTTAAATTTAGTTATCACGATAAAATATCACCTTTAGCTCGGATTAACTTTTACATGATTTAGTTCCTACTATTTTGGAATGATCCGTAAATGATTGAAAAAGTTCACAAAAAATCGTCGAGCACTACATTCAATTTCAAAAAATGCAGAGATGTCTAACGACGTATCTGATTTTCTAAGACCGTAATCACTCAAACTAAAGCTTCACTGACTGTGTATTCTGAACGACTATGAAACAATCATTTATGACAAGTAAGGCTCAAAACCCGTTTTTTATATATCATCAAAGATACATAATCAAAGACTCGATGATAACACGTATATTGTTTTTTTGATGAAAAATATTCATTTTAGGTTGTGGCGAAGTCCAGTTATGGCCTGACATCTTCCAGAGAATTTTCGGCCTCCACACGCGCTTATGCAGGAAAGTACGTTTAGCTTAAAAGGATACCTTTTTAGGAGACGATGACCGTAGTGAAGGTACTCTTACATAAGTCGAGATGAGTTTTTTCAAATTTGGTTTTTCGTGGTTCGATTTTTTTTCTTAGTTCAGTTCATTTCTTCTAATAAATGAAGGTCACTTCACAATTGAAAATCAAAAATAAAAAAAATTACAAAAACGTGATCAACATCTAATTTTGAAAGTGGAACTTCATTTTTCAAATTTCTCAGCGGAATAAAAGTTTTACCTAATGTTGCCGTTTTTCTGAGTTTATCGAAAACAGGGTCAATCATAAGTTCAAATAATTTAAAGGCCATATCTTTTTTATTATAAAATGTGAACGAATTCATTTTTCCAAGGTCATTTTCCAATTTTTTTTCAAACCTCCTATCTTTAGAAACCCCATATCTAGAGAAAAACCTCTATCTTCAGAAAAATAAAGATCGAACCACGACTAGGTCGTACCACAAGCGACAATTTACCGCAAGTGACATTTTTGATTTTTTATAAAATTACGCTGGCTGCGACAAAGATCTATTAAGCAAAAATTATACGTAATAATAAAGTAGAGTGCATCCGCAATTCATTATACTCTTCAGCAATTGATCCATAATCTTAGTTCAGCCAGATGATCTTCTAACAGTATCCGGGTCGAAATCCCGCTAAAAAACTTGCACGGTTTGATGGGTTTCCCAGCAAAATTCAAAAAAACCGCTGAAATTGCTCATCAAAGGAAACAAAAATAGTTGTGCAATTTTTTTCTTCATTTAAAGATAAAAACAACTGTTCAAAAATTGATTTTTGAGAAAAAGTAAAATTTATTTGCTTAAAAGTGGCCAATCTTACTGAAACATGTCGGTTAATCTTTTGAGACTGAATTGACTTTGTGAGCGTTAATTTCCAGAAATTCTATCAACGTTCAAACAATTGAAATAACGAGCATTTTCTCGGCAAATAACTCTAGAAATCCATAATTCAAACAATTTCTAAACATGCTTTAACTTCGGTAACATCGGCCATCGGAATAACTCGAAGCAAGCTATTAAAGGGCCATTATTTGTGCATGAGACAAACTTCTCTTTCTGACGGTCAGCCTTAATTAAGACTGAGCGAAAAAATGGTTGAAAAAGGTCAAGTGGGGCTATGGCCCCTCGGGCTTACATGTTTAAAGGTTAGGGTAAGGGTGGGTTCGAACCCACACCGAAACCGTAGACCATATGCCTAGCTTTTAACTAAGACCACTTGGCCATCTGGTCTTATTTAAGCTTAATTTTGGTCCAATGAAATTGCAGGCTTGTCTTATTTACAATTGCGTTGCAACAGCCATGAAGCATACCCGGGTTGACTATCACACCTCGCTATCATTCAACTTTTTTATTGACTTTCAAAAATTCAACATTTCTTTTCAAAGTTCCAAATACTGCCAAAAACGTTTTAAATGTGTTTCCATATCATAATTACAGAAAAAAATTTAGAAAAAAAATTAAACATAATATAATCAGAGGCGGATCAAGAATTTTCTAGAGGGGGGGGGGGAGGATTTTCAAAAAAAATTTCAAAATTTTGACGAACTTTTAATTTAGGTCGACCAAATTGATTTTCCGAGCTCGCTTAAAGCACTAAAAAGACAATGTTTTGGCTAAATTTTCTGCGCCGAAAGCAGAATTTTGAAAAACAAGCCAAAAAAAGGCGTTTTTAGGCATTTTTGGAAAATTTTGACCAAAAAAATTGCGTTTTTTTGTCGCGCGCTCCCCCCTCAAAGTAAGTATATATTAGCGCCAAAGGCGTATTTAGAACATTTTTAGGGTCCGTCACCAAATATGGATATCTCAAAATTGTACAAAGGGTCGGCAGGGGCTCGAACCCCCCCGCTTCCTCCCCTAAATCTGCCCCTGGTTAATAGCGTCTTGTTTGTTTCAGTTGGGCGTGCATCATACCATGTTGTGGGATCTGCTGCTAGTCTAAATGTGGAACGAACTTCTTTCTTCAAAGTTTCATGTAGCTGAAATTTAAAAATAACAATAATTTGAAAAAGAAATTGAGTCGGTGAAAAGCTTCAAAAAAGCTTCGATAAGAGGCAAAATTTCACCAAATTTTCAATATTTATTGTGACAAGCGTCTTACCCCATTTAATCAAACACTTTCCAATTTTCTTGCTGACTTATGTTTTAGTTTATTTATGCCACAGGGGCGGATCTAGGATTTTCTCGAGGCAGGCAAATTTTTGAAAAAACAGTCAAAAAAGCCATTTTTGGGCACTTTTTGAAAAATTTTGACAAAAAAATCGCTTTTTTTGGCGCGCGCTCCCCCTCAAAGTTAGTATATATTGGCGCCAATGGCGCCTTTAGAAAAATTTTAGGGTCGGGCGGCCAAAAATGGATTTCTGAAAAAATATCAAAGGGGGGACCCTTTGGGTCGGCAGGGGGTCGAATCCCTGACGGGAGAGGCGTCCGACCCCTCCCCGCCCCCTCCCTAAATCCGCCACTGTTATGCCATAACTGTGCCCATAAATGTATATTAGTCAATTATCAGTCAGAAATGAGTGGGATCAAAATCACACGCTTTAGGCTGAAACTTAATTGATGACAAACATTAAGTTTTTTTCTTAAAATTTTTGGCCGAGCCCAGAACGCCTCAGTAACGTTTCATCTAGATTTCAAATCATAAAAAATAGAATTAATTTTGTATTATAACGCATGTATTTTCAATATTTATTCAAACAAAAGAGTCTTGCTATGAGATAGAGCTAATCCGATAATAAGAGTTAAAACCAATCAAAATATGAAAAGATAGATTTGCAGACATGATATTTACAGATAAACTCGCATTTTAGAGAAGGGTATGCCTGCCAAGTTGACTAAGAGATGAGAAGAAATCTTTGACTTAGAGATGAAATATTTGGATGTTCAGAAAATAATTCAACGTTACTCTGGGAAACATAATCCAGCAATCTCCGCTGTGAGATCTTGCTGAGTATCTGCTAAAAAATCTTGCAAGAAATAGGCAAGAGTGTTGTATTTTCTTGCAAGATATCCTGCAATATGTGGACTCAGAGAACATATGGGATTAGTTAGTTATTTTTGAGAACAGCGAAATCACTGAAGTTTTTCTTAGCATTTTGTGATTGTCAGAATTAGTTAGTGACAGGATAAATAACAATTCACACTCAGCTTCAGTCTCTAGTCTCTTTTCCGATGTCATTGACGACCAAAAACCCATTAACTAAGTCAGCTATCTGCGCTTAAAATTGGTCAAAAAATATTTGCAACATACTTTTTAACACAGCAAAACATCTTGGAACAATTTTTCGAATCTGAATTACAACTGAAATGGCTAGGCTTTGATGCTATAATTGACACCTACGAGCTTTTTGAGCAAGCTAAAGTAGTGCTGAAAAACAACCCTTTGCTATAATTTTTCTTTCAACCCTATAGAGAGTGGACAGAACAATGAATCTCTAACATCGATCCCATGATTTTGATTTGCTAGCGATTTCCACCAGCATGAGGCCAAACTGTGCACTGGATAGGCGCAAAATTTTGTGTCTGTATGTTTCTGGATTCCAGAGACAAATCTTTAAACATGTTCCAAAACGTTAGAGGATTCCACTTACAAAAGTTTCGTGGATTCCGCGTACAGATAGCTGTAACGTAAATTTTGTCGGCACAATTGTTTTGTTGCGGATTCCGCAACAAGCAAATATAGCTAGTTGTTCTGGATTCCGCAATTGTAAGAGGATTTGCAAAATGTACGGGGAACCCGAAAATACAAGTGGAATCCGCAAACAAAGTTCGGATTCCACTTACAATTTTCGGATTCCACTTACAATTTGCAGATTCGACTTACAATTTGCGGATTCCGCGACAGCTCAATGTGACTATACACATGTATTTTTATTTGTTTGTGGATTCCTTAAATTGTTCTGGATTCCGCAATAACAGTGGCGGGTTCCGCAAATTTGCCTATTTTTGGAGCGATTTTGATCGGTACAATGTTTTAGGTATTTGTTCATGGAATCCAAAACAGCAAAGAAGATCAAAGAAAAGTAGAAATGTTGCGTATTCCGCGACAAATCTGATTTTTTTCGGTCGCAGAATCCGGGGGGGAGGATTTTCAAAAAAATTTCAAAATTTTGACAAACTTTTAATTTAGGTCGACCAAATTGATTTTCCGAGCTCGCTTAAAGAACTAAAAAGACGATGTTTTGGCCAAATTTTCTGCGCCAAAAGCAGAATTTTGAAAAATAGGCCAAAAAAAGGCGTTTTTAGGCATTTTTGGAAAATTTTGACCAAAAAAATTGCGTTTTTTTGGCGCGCGCTCCCCCCTCAAAGTAAGTTTATATTAGCGCCAAAGGCGTATTTAGAACCTTTTTAGGGTCCGTCACCAAATATGGATATCTCAAAATTGTACAAAGGCTCGGCAGGGGCTCGAATCCCCCCCCCCCCCCCCCCCGAATCCTCCCCTAAATCCGCTCCTGGTTAATAGCGTCTTGTTTGTTTCAGTTGGGCGTGCATCATACCATGTTGCGGGATCTGCTGCTAGTCTAAATGTGGAACGAACTTCTTTCTTCAAAGTTTCATGTTGCTGAAATTTAAAAATAACAATAATTTGAAAAAGAAACTGAGTCGGTGAAAAGCTTCAAAAAAGCTTCGAAAAGAGGCAAAATTTCACCAATATTTCAATATTAATTGTGACAAGCGTCTTACCTCATTTAATCAAACACTTTCCATTTTTCTTGCTGACTTATGTTTTAGTTTATTTATCCCACAGGGGCGGATCTAGGATTTTCTCGAGGCAGGCAAATTTTTGAAAAAACAGTCAAAAAAGCCATTTTTGGGCACTTTTTGAAAAATTTTGACAAAAAAATCGCGTAATTTTTGGCGCGCGCTCCCACTCAAAGTTAGTATATATTGGCGCAAAAGGCGCCTTTAGAAAAATTTTATGGTCGGGCGGCCAAAAATGGATTTCTGAAAAAGTATCAAAGGGGGGAAATTTGTCATCAGCCTAAAGCGGCAGGGGGTCGAATACCTGACAGAAAAGCGTCCGCCCCCCCCCCCCCGCCCCCTCCCTAAATCCGCCCTAAAACCCATTAACTAAGTCAGCTATCTGCGCTTAAAATTGGTCAAAAAATATTTGCAACATACTTTTTAACACAGCAAAACATCTTGGAACAATTTTTCGAATCTGAATTACAACTGAAATGGCTAGGCTTTGATGCTATAATTGACACCTACGAGCTTTTTGAGCAAGCTAAAGTAGTGCTGAAAAACAACCCTTTGCTATAATTTTTCTTTCAACCCTATAGAGAGTGGACAGAACAATGAATCTCTAACATCGATCCCATGATTTTGATTTGTTAGCGATTTCCACCAGCATGAGGCCAAACTGTGCACTGGATAGGCGCAAAATTTTGTGTCTGTATGTTTCTGGATTCCAGAGACAAATCTTTAAACATGTTCCAAAACGTTAGAGGATTCCACTTACAAAAGTTTCGTGGATTCCGCGTACAGATAGCTGTAACGTAAATTTTGTCGGCACAGTTATGCTATAACTGTACCCCTATATGTATATTAGTCAATTATCAGTCACAAATGAGTGGGATCAAAATCACACGCTTTAGGCTGAAACTTAATTGATGACAAACATCAAGTTTTTTTCTCAAAATTTTTGGCCGAGCCCAGAACGCCTCAGTAACGTTTCATATAGATTTCAAATCATAAAAACTAGAATTAATTTTGTATTATAACGCATGTATTTTCAATATACATTTAAACAAAAGAGTCTTGCTATGAGATAGAGCTAATCCGATAAAAAGAGTTAAAACCAATCAAAATATGAAAAGGTAGATTTGCAGACATGATATTTACAGATAAACTCGCATTTTAGAGAAGGGTATGCCTGCCAGGTTGACTAAGAGATGACAAGAATTCTTTGACTTAGAGATGAAATGTTTGGATGCTCAGAAAATAATTCAACGTTACTCTGGGAAACATAATCCAGCAATCTCCGCTGTGAGATCTTGCTGAGTATCTGCTAAAGAATCTTGCAAGAAATAGGCAAGAGTGTTGTATTTTCTTGCAAGATATCCTGCAATATGTGAACTCAGAGAACATATGGGATTAGTTAGTTATTTTTGAGAACAGCGAAATCACTGAAGTTTTTCTTAGCATTTTGTGATTGTCAGAATTAGTTAGTGACAGGATAAATAACAATTCACACTCAGCTTCAGTCTCTAGTCTCTTTTCCGATGTCATTGACGACCAAAAACCCATTAACTAAGTCAGCTATCTGCGCTTAAAATTGGTCAAAAAATATTTGCAACATACTTTTTAACACAGCAAAACATCTTGGAACAATTTTTCGAATCTGAATTACAACTGAAATGGCTAGGCTTTGATGCTATAATTGACACCTACGAGCTTTTTGAGCAAGCTAAAGTAGTGCTGAAAAACAACCCTTTGCTATAATTTTTCTTTCAACCCTATAGAGAGTGGACAGAACAATGAATCTCTAACATCGATCCCATGATTTTGATTTGTTAGCGATTTCCACCAGCATGAGGCCAAACTGTGCACTGGATAGGCGCAAAATTTTGTGTCTGTATGTTTCTGGATTCCAGAGACAAATCTTTAAACATGTTCCAAAACGTTAGAGGATTCCACTTACAAAAGTTTCGTGGATTCCGCGTACAGATAGCTGTAACGTAAATTTTGTCGGCACAATTGTTTTGTTGCGGATTCCGCAACAAGCAAATATAGCTAGTTGTTCTGGATTCCGCAATTGTAAGAGGATTTGCAAAATGTACGGGGAACCCGAAAATACAAGTGGAATCCGCAAACAAAGTTCGGATTCCACTTACAATTTTCGGATTCCACTTACAATTTGCAGATTCGACTTACAATTTGCGGATTCCGCGACAGCTCAATGTGACTATACACATGTATTTTTATTTGTTTGTGGATTCCTTAAATTGTTCTGGATTCCGCAATAACAGTGGCGGGTTCCGCAAATTTGCCTATTTTTGGAGCGATTTTGAGCGGTACAATGTTTTAGGTATTTGTTCATGGAATCCAAAACAGCAAAGAAGATCAAAGAAAAGTAGAAATGTTGCGTATTCCGCGACAAATCTGATTTTTTTCGGTCGCAGAATCCGTTTACAATGCACAAAATGCACAGTTTGGCCTCGTAATGAGGAGAATGAAAAAAAAAATTGAAAACTACAATTTTAAAAATTAATGATAATATTGCAATTAAATGCAAATGAAATTGAACTAAAAAGTTTTAAAAAGTTCTGATCATTGAGCGTGATATTCTGGAAAGGGTAGAGCTCTTAGTTAGACAGCAAGAGAGCCGGTTGCGATTCCCCCAAACCACGTTTCATTTTCAATTATCGCAACCACAATTCGATATTTTTGACCTGATCTTCAACTGAAAAAACTAAAAAACTGTCCAGACGATATAATTTGGGTCACAAATTTCAAATTAGCATAAAATTTAAATTTTAGAAAAAATTCGTGGACCTCAACGATGGCAATGAAAATTAAATCTCGCATATAGTGGTCTGATTCATTGAAGGATTTCAGAATTAAAAACGTGTCATACAGTTACATATTTTATCATAATGAAAACTTTGAACTATTTTGCGAAATTTTTTTTCCTGATAATCTCTTTTTGGTATTATGCTGCTTCGAGAAAAACAATTTTGTTTTGCTTAATCTTTAGTTACCGTAATTAATGGCCACATGGATGGACTTTGAGCTGCCCAGTTTTATTTTAAACCCATATCGAAGCAAAATTTTAGTTCTTGGTGTTTATTAATTTTAGTTCTTAGAATTTCTAAAAATTAGCAGCAATCAGTCAAATTCACCTGGTAAAAAATTATTCCAATTACATTTCATCATACAATTCATTGCGAAAAAAAAAGTTAGTTAACTTAAAAACTTTTGCAAAAAGAAAAATTATTCAAGAAAGACAAATCCGGGTCCTATACAAAAATGAAATTTCAGATTATGATATCTTTTGTCTAGTAGTTTGATGTCCTACGTGGTGGTGAGGAATGGCTTTGTTTTCAAAAACCATATAAGATTAAATATAATTTTAAGTCTTCAATCATCTAAGAACTGAGAATATACCCAACACATTTTTTTAAATGCCGTTTTCAATTCAAAACTAAAAGTTAGCCATTAAGTTTGTTTTTAAAGCTGATGGAATTATACTTTCCGTTTTTTTTCTGGTAAGACGGATTTTCAATTAAAGCGTTTTTGTGCTCTCCAAGACCGCTAAAATGGCCATATTAACAATGCCGCGGTCAATCTTGTCAACAAAGCCCAATTATTTGTAGTTCTTTTTATTTTTGGGAAGACTTAGACAAAAACTTGTTTTGCTAACACCCTATTTCGAAAAACTAGTATATATTCACCACAACAGCATATCTCTAAAAACTACAGTTTTGCTCAGCATCAAATGGCTGTCACAAAAGAGTGCCAAACGGACACTTTGGATCAAATTGTCAGCATCAATTGTGGCAAGGAAAGCTTCGGTGTGTACCTGTGCATGGTGGTGGTGGGTCAATCATGAAAGCGTTAAAGTCCATTTTAGTTTAAAACGTATCATAGAGCTATGTATTCTATCATAATGAAAGCTGTAATTATTTTTTCAACAATAATTCTCCTGAGAGTCTCTTCTTGGTTTTATGTATTTTTGAGGAAACCAAATTTGTTTTGCTTAATCTTCCATTTCATTGATTAATGCCCACATGGCCTTTGAGCTGTCCGAAATAAGATTTTGAACTAATAAGCAAAGTTTTAGTTTCTAGCGGGTTTCTAAAAAGTTGCACCGATCACTCAATCTTCGTCTGGAAAGTTGTTGTTTCAAAAACATTACACCCGGGCTGACCTCTATAAACCAAAACGCTCATCTTACAATTCCATACACCAAATGTATGAAAACTTCTAATCATACAGTTTTCTTATAACTTCAAAAAATCATTGAAAAAAGTTTCGAACTAGTTTCTGAGGCTGTTTGAACAAAAAAAAATAGCCTGATGAATAATCAAACTGTTTCTTTTTTTGAAAAAAAATGGTTATCATACAATTTCCATATTTTCGATGGCGACAATAAAAAAAAATTTTCAAGTAAAATTGAAGCTGCCCTAAAAACTTTTTTGTTTTTTTTTCTCAACAGCAAATCAAATTCTGTACTCAAACTAAAAATTTCCAAACAAAATTTGGTATACAAAGTCCTGGATACAAATGCATGCTGGATACAAAGTCCTGGATGCAAAAAAATGCAAGATGGTGTTGGTACACAATCTGCTGATAACCTGAAGTGAGTGACCAGTATAATTTTCACTCCGTCCATGAGTTTGAGGCTATAGCCAGGTTTCTATCTGAGATTCTTTCATCAGGATACGTCTCCTTTCAGTAGTTCGATATCATCAAAAACTTTTTCAATGGACTAATCTTTCCTTTGGTACTTCTTTTCAAACTTCACTTTTGCCCGATGTCGTTGTACGCCAGAGACGAAAAAAACTCATTAGATTTTGATGATTTTTCG